AAGTGGGGGAGTACAAAGTACGAAAAGTTAGATTATTAAAGTCGCCGAATAGCCGGAGGAGGCGTATTACCCGCGCTTTGGTTTACTCCAGATTAAGAAAGTTCATCCAAACGTGGGGAAGGGGGCTGTTGTGTCAAAAAGCAAGGGAATCATAATAACGAGCCGCGGAGTATACTGGTCGCTCGGGAGGGCTCGTACATCGAATTACGTTGGTGGAAAAGTTTTTTCGGTCGCGACAGGCCGAATTAATAGCTCGCGAACAGAGGCAGGAGGACGATTGCGAAGCTTCCATTACACGTGGAAGCGTTAGCCACCCCTCTCCCTCGAGCGGTTCAGGGGCCAAGGCTCTCGTTCCAGCCGCGCCGTTACTATTTGCCCGGGCTCGAAACGTCGCTTTCCCACGCGAGCAGAATTTACTCGCGTATCTCACGCACGCGCTTTTACAACGGACGTGTACTGTGGATCGACGAAAATATCAGATCGTTCCCGATAAAAATGTCCCGGGTTCGCGGTACGTATGTAGGTACGTTTGTTCTCTCGCGTAATGGAATTATCGTTCCGCGGTAACCGGCGGCACGCGATACTTCGATTACGCGAAATGCTCCCTTCTTTCGCGGCTGCCTCGCTCGAAACCTTCCACGGTCCCAAACCACCCGCCGAACGTTTTCCTGTTCCACCCTCAGTTACGTTTGTTCGAGGCTTGGAATCCGTGTTCCCGTCACCGCGCATGGAATCTCGAGGCGAACAATTACGATCAACCGTAACAGAGCACACTTTCGATTTTAAGATGGATTTTAAAATGGTAGGCGGATGATTGGTTAAACGTCATAATGGATGTAATAAAAATTTATAGATTGTATTTCGTGTAATTAAAACATACGCGTGCATCTGATCACATTAATATGGCCAGGGACTGTAGGTGTCGAAAGACGGAAATTTCTTTTTTTTTCTTTAAAGATCCTTCAAAATTTTGGATAAATTATATTAAATCTAACCTCTATCAGCTTATCCACGTTGCTGTATATCGTTACTTGGCTGACGCTCTCATAGCAAAAAATGTAACAGCAAGATAGAAATTAAAAAAGACTCGAAGCGCGCACGGACGTACGTTGTAAATCAGCCGTCAAGATTTCGGTCTTGAAACAGGGGATCGACTCGCAAAGGTAAAATCGTCCTCGATTCACCCCTCGAGAAATAAATCGAGGAAGGGAAGACTCGGCTCGTCTCTCGTGAATAGAACGTCGCCCGGGAACTTGAATGATTCGACTATTCCGGGCACGGGAAGGAATTCCCGTTCGGATATCTTTCGACGCGGACCCCGACGTACGAGCCCGTGCAAATAGCGCACACCCCGGCCCCCGAGACACGGAGGAGTATCGCTTGGAATGACGCTTTTTTCCATTTACACGCCACGGGGACATTTATAGAAGCAGACGTTAAGAAGCGTCGCCTCGCGATCTTCCATCCGCGTATCGCGTGCGCGAATCGCTGAGCATTACACGCCAGAACGGACCGCTACGAGTGAATGTGCGCGCGCGGGCATAAATTATAAGGCGGGGGTACCGATTATCCGAACAGCTTTTATGCCCATCTCCAGAGGCAACCGGTACCCCAGTTCGTTTAAAAGAATGGAATTCCACCGTGTCCCTTGTAACGAAGCAGGTTTTACCGAGTTCCAAAGCGAATACAATTTTATTCATACGGTTTCGGTACTCATTCGTGCCGCTGAACCAAGTTGTTCGGATCTTACAGAGACTATACAAATCAGCTGCGTGGGCTATAGAACGACGAATTTTTTTAGCGATATTATTGCATTGAATTTCAAACAAATATTTCACCAATGAAAGTGAAATCGTACACGCGAATTACCGTCCCGCAAGTATATTTATATTAATATTATTGGAAATCTGAGACTTTAGAAAGATTATTCAATCAATTCTTCGAAGAAATAGTGCTCGCAGATATTATCGAACGAAAGTCTACGTAGTATCCCTAAAAAGGTATAACATTGTACAATAAATTATAGAAAACCTTATAAATTGTTTTACTCATATCACCTTGAGGAGGGTAGTAGTTAATATCCGTAAAAATTCTACCGAAAGAACATCCGCCATGGACGACCACGAAGAAACGAAACACGGCACGAAGAGAGGATAGGTCTTTTCCCCGAAGGCAATTTGTCGCGAAAACCTTGGCGCGCAATCCGAAAGCAAAACACAACGTCCCGGCCAACGTCCAACAAACGATGTATGCGACCTTTTTGCGCCTGGACGACAAGCGCGCTGTGGTGTGCGTGTACGTGTGTCTATGTGCGCGTGGAGCAGCCGTCTGCTCCGCGAAAATATTTCACATATTTTTGTTAGGAATTAATCCAGCCCGTAATACTCGTTGCCCGGCGTGTTCACCGCTGAAAATTCTCTTGACAAACAACCCTCTCGGCTGCATTCACACCCCCTGGCACACTATAGGGCGCGTCCACCCGGTGTGTCTGTACGCTTCTCGCGCGCGCGTGTATACGGAGATCAGTGTTGGCTGTTCTGCGAGCGACGAAATGGTCAGCGGCGACCCTCCCACTCACTCCTCTACAACGAACCAACCCCTGCCCTCTTTTCGCAACCCCGTAAGCGCGTGTACTCGCAGCCCTGAATTTCTCAAGTTTGCCCAGGGACAGAAATTAGTTGGAGCGACGGTAATTGCTCGAACGTATGCGTTCGCCCGTTAACGTTATGGCACCTCTCATTACTGGGGGGGGGGTAAAAATTTAAGCGTTGCCTTGGGAAATCCGTGGAAAAATTCAGCGATAAATTCGCCTACCTCCGTCGCGGCCCTTTTTTCGCTGAAATTTTTACGTATCACGTGACATGGAAGGGGTGAGAGTAAGATAAAGAGGGATTTGGTGAAATCGTTTGATTGGATGCCACTGAGATCAGAAGCTTCGAGAAAAATCGTTTCTACGAAGCGGTAAGTAATACGATCAACGACGTTTTCTTCTGAAAATGTTACATTCTTTGTTTTTCTAATGTTTGGTTGACAACATATTTTTATGTATACAATAGTAAGATGTGCACATCTGGATCTATTGGATATAAGAAGGTAAAGAAAAGTTTTATAAATGACTACGTCAAAAATTGTTCCGATTGTTAATATCTCGGTTTATAACGTGAATCTGCGACAATTCAACGTCATTTCGTCACAGTGGTCCCAATTTCGTTGCGATTGTTACCCGTAGATTGATGCGACGAGTGAACACCGGGAAATTATTGTCATTCCATTGGGTCATCCCGTTAGTCATGATTAAGCAAATTTCATATCCGGGCTATTAATATTATAGCGGTTGACCGCGCGACGTCCACAAAATTCCCCTGGCTAGTATAGAATGCATGTACTGACCCCGACAACTGCCGGTACTAGCAAACTTCCTGAAGTTGATTAAACCGGAAAGAGCTTCGACTGCCGAGCGGTTGTGTCGGCGTCGGCTTCGTTTCGGGCGATTCAACGTTTATTACTTAACACGAACGAGGATAAACGCTCAGAACTAATTGGACCAGCGCAAAAACCAATGTAACACTTGTAAAACTTGAAAAATCACACAGATTTTGCCGGATATAAGTAAACGTTTAATCTAGATTTAATAAAACATGTACCATAATCGCGAGAAAGAAAACGAAGGAAACATAATCCGCTAATTTGAAATGGTAACACAAGTTTCATACATGAAGTTTTTTCTTGTAAAGTCCCTTTATTTTACACTTTTACGCTGTTACTGACTTTGAATTACCTGTAGGATTTTTCTGAACTCTCCTTGTTACGCTAAATATGTAAATGAATAGTAATTTCGTTAACGGGAAGTCCTGAAAATTTGACATTGTATTTATTATTCTACAATGTAAAAATAAACACATGTCCTCTCGTATCCATTAATGCGTATGAAAGGTACATTGACAGCAAGTAATATTTGCTCACATTTATCCTTACATGAAAATTCTATCGAATTGGATACGTCGTTAATTTGCATAACAACTATTCTAATAACTGAACCCTCCGAGGTGTTTCGACCGTTTGCAATTTTTTATAATAGCTCCAATTTTGTCTAAAAACGCGGTGCGGTCGATGAAATACAAGAATTACAAGAACAATATAGATATTTGTTTATACTGTAGTTTAACGCGTAGTTCATCGTAGACTTAATAACTGCTTGGTATATAGAATATTAGGTGCGTAAACGAAATGATCGATGGAACTTTTACCATTCCGTCTATCTCTTTCGTTTGAGTATTAGCGACTACGTTGCGTTAAATTTGTTATTTCGTATTACTAGCATTAATTCGTATTAATTAGAATATTAAGATAATATTAGTTCTAAGCTGAAGAACGAAGACAACCGACGAGGGAACTTAGTTTTTTATAGGTTTAGGCTCAAGAAAGAAGTCATCCGCCGAGGGATTTTAGTACAGATAGTATTACATAGTTAAGATTTAAGTTACGTATAAGGTTTATTGTGAAAGGTGGGTAGATGTAGAACTTGTGATTCCATCTATCTGTCTTGGGCCTCCACTCGCAGCAACCTCCTCGTGGTGAGGCCTGGGCAATCGATATTCTCATCGGTAAAATACTGTAAACTGAAGACAATATCGAGCTAATGGCTGTGAACTTCGAATCTATCTGAGAAAACCACGTTCTAAATTACATCGAACTAGGATTATTTTAAAAATCAATATGAGATTCAAAGTATAAAAATGCCGAGTATAAATATAGCCATCACCCTGCGATATCAATAGGACTCGATTGCCAAGAGTTACTTCAGAATGATATTACATCGTTTCAATCGATTATAATATATAAGAACTGAATTTATAAAACGTTGTTGTTTAGTCAACGTTATGTTATGGTTATGAATGTCGAGAGATTTGAAATTTGAAAACTGCCTTTAAAAATGTTGAGAAATTAGATTCCTAAGACATCGACTGAGTGTAACATGCTAGAAAATACGAGCACAAACTTTTTGCGTACATCTGCCAGAAAGCTCATGACCTGCTTAAAGTGATGGCATTCGCGACGAGGAGTTTGCGACATTTCTATAAAATATACAATGGAAGTACAGGAACGGTATTTTCTACACTTCGTCAGTCTCTTACACGAATATCCGTTTGTCAGAATGTACAATTGTATAATTACAACACCGAGAGTAAGTAAAAGCGGAAAAACATAACCTTCTGTATCCGAAGCACCGACCCGCATGCTTTAGTATTTCCTGAAAAATACTCTAGTTAGCACGTATAAGAAACAAATATTCTGATCTTTAATAATACACGACAATTTTCTTTTTCATTGTTCTTGACATCACAGACTTAGTCATTCACTTTTTGTGCAAATGTCCCAACACAAATAATTCATGTACATATGAACTATATTTTTGTGCAGTACATCGACCAAAAATAACAGGCAGTTTAACAAATATACAATCAACTGTTCAATCCCTATCACCGGATGCTTTAGACAATAAAAGAATAGAAGAGGCAGAAAAAGAGGATGCAGAGGAAAAGGAAAGGCGTGAACACTCAAATAGAATGCTTAAATATAGTTTCACATTTTTTGGTGTGTTTATTACTTTTGGGTTGTCTTATATTATTTATGATTTGACGAAAACAAGGTATGATGAACAAGGGAACATTATTGAAGATGAATATTCCAACTTACCATTGTATGAAAAAGTATATAGAAGGCTCAAGAGAGAATTTAACTATTACACTAAGGTACAAAGTTCTTATTCCAAGTTGTTTTTTTTTATTTTATTTCTATACTTTTATATGAACTGCTCAAAAACTAAACGAATTAAGTCTATCTAATAAAAATGTTTTTTCAAATATTGTTGCAGTTCTTCCATGGTCATAAATCTTAGTATTAATATGGTTCAGCTAAAGACATACATATTTCCCACATTATCACTTCTTCAATTTTATTTTACAGATGGTTCAAGAACCTAGCAGGGATAAGTTGCTTCCAGATCCACTTAAATACCCTTATATTCAACCTCCTTACACTTTGGTATTGGAGCTGACTGATGTACTTGTACATCCAGATTGGACAGTAAGTTAAATGTTCATTAATTTACCAACATTCAATAATTTATGAAGTCCCTAATTATTTTTCAAAAGTTCATGCATGATAATAATCTTGCTCACTGTGTATTTGATTCATTCAATACAGTTACATATTTCTATTAACTGCTTGTATAGTATGAAACTGGTTGGAGGTTTAAAAAGAGGCCTGGAGTGGACCAATTCTTAGAAGCTGTTGCACCACCGCAATTCGAAATTGTAGTATACACAGCAGAACAGGGTCTGGTAAGCACTATTAATTATTTTTAAATATAATATTATTTAATAAATACCATGAGCTGTTTTTACATTTCATTTGTTTAACATTACTTTCAGACTGTCTTTCCTATTTTGGATATATTGGATCCTAATGGATATATTATGTATAGATTAGTGAGAGATACAACACGTTTTGTAGATGGGCACCATGTTAAGGATTTGGATGCTCTTAACCGTGATCTCAGTAAAGTAAGTGTTCCAGTTTTCTTTATATAAATTGAATATCTTGTAACATTCACTTGTTGTTTCACCAGGTTATAGTAGTTGACTGGAATTCAAAGAGTACAAAATTTCATCCTGAGAATACTTTAAGAATACCACAATGGTCGGGTAATAATGACGACACCACACTGTATGATTTAGCTGCATTCCTCAAAAGTAAGTTTCCTTTATGAATTTTGTGTTATTTATATAAATATGAAATTGTCTATGGTATATTACTGATACTTCATTGAATACTTTTTAGCTATATTAGCAACAAATGTGCAAGATGTAAGAGATGTTCTCAATTATTATAAACAGTTTGACGATCCACTACAAGTTTTTAGAGAAAATCAGCGGAAGTTACTAGTAAGTAGCTTGCATTTGTATTTATATTAAAAAGATAATCATATATATTAATTAATTGAAATCCTCCTAGATGCAGATGGAAGAGGAAGAAACCAGGGCACAGCAGGAAAGTAGTAAAGTACTTACGTCAAAATGGAAACCATCTTTCCTTCGAAATCGTTAAATCATTATAGAAAATGCGACATTGTAAAATATAAAAAAAAACATACAATCTGTTATCATTAACATGTTCATTCATTTTGCCAATGCACATTGTATGTAATTATTGTATAATTTTTGCTATAAATTAATAAACAAGTAACTCGTACGCTGACATAATTTACTGTATTGTATTTCATCAGTTTATAAAAAAAATAATCGCGTTTGTAAATAAATTACCAGGTTTTATGTTCTTTGTCTTTTTCGAATAGAGTCTTTGTTCTTCGGACGGGATTTAACTTTTGGTAAAAGTAACTCTTGTAAAACGTTACTGTCATCTAAACAAGTTATATCTATTTCTTGTGACACGCTTATCAATTCTTGTGTATTAACTGGTGTTGCTACGTTTTCCGAATCTTCTTGTGAAGGCACTAATGCTTTAGTATCTGCCGACTCCAGCCAACTTAAGACCTTTTGGTGAGGTGCTGCTGTTAGAGGTAATGGCACTTCTTCACATATTTCCCATACCGCCAAAAGTTCTGGTGCTAAAATATCCATGTAACAGTTCAATTTTTCAAGGGATTGTTTCCAACTTGGTACATAGTAATCATCCGAATCACGCTTTTTATATTTTAACCGTAACTTTCTGTTAGTAAAACCTATAAAATTTGTATATTAATAGTATTTTTGGTATAAATTCATTTAATCGAGAATGTAATTTCACAAACTCACATTCATAGACATGTTGCATGTTTGATTTTTCAGAAACTGTAAGCGGTACTATTGTCTCTGCTTGTGAAGACACTGCATTTTCCCAATTATTCAATATGCAATATGACTTGCAATTAATAGGTGAATATTTATCTAATATAGCCTCGTGTGTTATACATTGATAATACATGTCTCCTAGAAAATATATTTCCATTAAATCTTTTATCGATACAATCTAACATTTAGTAAAAAAAATAATATCCATACCAACTGAATTCTGAAGAAATAGAAATATATTTTCAGCTTCGTTTTTTATAAGTGCAGATCCAACATTACATAATTCAAATCTGTTTCTTAAATATGGGTTTAAAGACATTCCTTGAAGTTGAGATTCATTGAGTGTTTTCGTAACATGAGGCGGAGTAAACGGAAAATTAAAGGAATGTGAAGTCTCACTACTTGTCCAAGTATTTAAAATTATTATACTTTCAGTGGGTACTTGACTAGTCAAGACGATAAATTCCGTGCCTTCTCTGTAAAAACCAAATATACTTTTTTATTTTTGCTTTCGTTATATTTAAGTTTATTTGTAGTGAAATGTTAATTACCTATCTATAGTTTGACCCAGTAGTGGTGGACTTTTAAATTGATGCGTCCACTTCTGTTGCACGCATTGTTTTGGGGAACGTTTATCACACATCAAAACATTATGATAAGATGCTACATATCTACAAAAATTATGTCTACTTTCAATATCTAATGTAAGGCTTTCACATTTCTCCAAAACTGATTTTGGACATAATGATAATGCTGGTCGATCAAATGGAATCTATAATGTTGAGTGATGTTTAGAATATTTTTATTGGTATATAAAATATCTAATAAACGACGCTGTTAGCTTACCCTTACATCCAGATAATTCAGACAGCACCTATCTACAAATAAAATAACATTTGGATCTAACATATCAAATTTTATACTTCCCCATGAATCGTCTACTACTGTAGTTTGCATTACAGTGTTACGACTCACATACTTCCTAAAAGAATAGAAATAGTTATTTTATGTATTCATTAATGTATACATAATCACAACTGTATGTAATATTTACAATTTAGTGATGTCCCACAATGTCACACATCTTTCTATATTTACTGTACAATACTGATTGGTATTAATTGAACTTAAATCTGCGCTAACATATGGAACTTTTGATGGTTGCCGATGGATTTCAGCAAGTCTGAATTTGGTGTCACGTTCAGATAGCATATAAAAATTACAATGATTTTTGTATCTACCCAGAATTGTGTCTAAAATATTGATGAAAAGTTCTTTTGCTGCTTGTCATAGAATCTCTAATTACTGGCATATAACCAATGATATATGACTTACTTGTATTAACATTGATATTGTGTTTTAATTCAAATAATGGACCATCAAGTTTACATTTAGTTGCCTTTTGAAACACTGGTTTCCATAAAAATTCTTCAACATTATTAATAGGTGCAGCAACTGTAAGGGTATTAAAATCACATTAGACCCTATTTAAAAATGCAAAATAAATTACTATTCGAATGACAATACCTAATTCACCCATGAATGGAAAAAGTAAGACACTTTTGTTATTCAATCGCACATGAATTACACATCCACCAGTAAAATACCAATTATAAGCCTAAAACACATTTCTAATAACTTAGTTACATGTTTTTCCTTCAATCATTCCTTCTCTCAAGCAACTCTAGTTTATCATACCCCTTCAAAATATGGATCTGGATCCATGTTCATAATTTCTGCTATATCTGCTACATATTTAGGCACTTTTGCAGTAATTGCTTCTTTTGTGTGCTGCCATTTAATATCTTTTTTACATGTGCGTCCTAATTCTATAACAAAATATATTCATTTAAACACATATAAATTTTTCAACACATACATTTATTACATTAAATATACCTTTTTCATGTTTAATATAATACTGCTTTAGCCTCTGCATGTCATCATTTATATGATTCTTAAGACTAAGTAGTTCCAGTGCAGGATCCTCTTCATTTAACACTGTATAATTTACAAATTTAAGTTCGAGTGATTTAACAAAATCGTATCTTAATTTGACTGCTTACCATTTCTTGGTAACTTAACAGGAGGCAGCAAAGGTCTTGGTAGATCACAGTGATATGGATAATCTTGATACTGTCCCACAACATTTTCCAAATCAAAGTCATCAACAGAAAAATCATTATGTAAATTGTATCCTGGCATCAAATGATGTGGATAAGTTTTCAGAAATGTTGGTTTTAATTTATCCTTTAAATTTGCTTCAACTCGTTTATATGCTTTTGATGTTAAAATACTTTGATCCTCCATTGTATTTCTTTATATATTGTTTTGAAAAATTATTTACCAAAATACATAAAAGTATTACCCTTTTCCTAAATACATAAAGTTTGCAATCAAACCATTCTTGCACATAAAGTGCATAAAAGAGAATAAATTTGTTTTACTTTTCATTAACATTTAACAATACAAAATTGATATTAATCGTCATTTTAACTTTTTAACACGCATAATACTGATGAAATAATGTTTATAAAACATAACGCCGTAGTACTCTGGCACGTGGTATGCAATATTCGAATCTGTCAATGCACATTATTGCACATCAAGTAAGTTAAAATACTCCACATTCATAGTGTTTTGTGTTATAACCGCAGTAGCTTTCTAGTTACATTTTTGAAGTGGTTGTTTATTTCTCAATTTGCAGTTTTGTTAACGAAAACAACAGAAATTTGATTATTTGTTATGAAATTTTGCATAAATTCTGTGATTAAACAATACGTCCTTACAGACGAGGTATGTTAATATAGATTTGAAACTCATTTTATTTGTCGGTAGTCACTTTCTGCAATATGTTTACCGAAATCTAGTTTAGGGTGCGCTGCACGCTACATTGTTGTAAAATATTTGATTAATTGTAGTAAATACGTGTTACATTTTGTTTTCAATAAAAATTGTGTGTACATAAATAAAAATGATTACATCTACTTTACGATCGGCAGCATGCTCCCTTATGAAAACAAAGATTGACATTATCGAAAGGATGAAGAAAATATCCTGTCCGAGTGCGATGCATGTCAGATGTATTCATATAACCTCAGCTGTTTTGAAAGAAATACGACTGAACAATAAGGAAAAACTTCGGGTAAAACGTACTAAGTTTCATGAACCCATGGAAGGAGAGCATACTGTTGGCGTGAACATTTCACCAATACAGTAAGTAATTCATTGATGTTTTAGTCAACAAATCTTTGAAGTTTATCTGTTAACTGTATGACATTCTGATGTTCTTAATTATATTTATAAAACAATTGTAAACTCTAGGAGTCCGGATTTCCCTAATGAATTCACACCACATCAGATGTTCAACAGTGTACCATTCGAAAAGTTACCAATTATCAACATAAAGGCAACACCTAATAATACAATATTTTCTACCACTAGTTACGACGGCAAGTTTTAATATAGAAGTACTGTTTTGTACATATTAGTTTGGAGATGACAGAAGTATAATAGTGTTATTACAGGGAACGGAATACTATTGCACAGTTCTGGTATTGAAGGCTTTAAAAATGCAAAGAAGGGTACCAACATTGCAGCACAACAGGCAGCCATGACACTTGGAACGGTGAGAAGAATTTGGAATATCACATAATCTTAATATTGCTTTAATTTGTTACATTTTTATAATGTGTTATATTTTTCTATAAGCGTACTATCGAGAAGGGTATTAAAACTGTGAGGGTGAGAGTACAAGGCATTGGACCTGGCAGATTGGTAAATAGTAAATAATAGTAATTGAATTTCCTTTAACTCTGTAACATTAATATGAATATATTTGTGTTCATACAGTCGTCCATAAAGGGCCTTCAACTAGCAGGATTACAAATAGTTTCAATCACAGATGACACCAGAGTTTCATGGAATCCTCCAAGGCCAAGGAAACAGAGAAGAATATAATGTACAGAATATACAATAAGAAATGTAGTAAATCAATTTGTTCTAAAATAGGGTATATATGTATTTATTAGAATGTAAACTGTACTATTTCCTTCAAACAGACTAATAAATAATAATACTTTTCACTTACTCCATACAATACATTGTATTATATACATGCTTAATTGCAAATAAAGGTGACTAGACAGAGAATCATATTTTACAAATAAATACTTACGACGTTTCTTACAGTAATTTGCACTGTCGCTTACATCTACACATAATAAATTATCATCCCTAATAAAATCACGTACTTAATTTACATATGATAAATACAATCTTAAGATTTAGATGGTTTTAAGATTTGATATTCTATCAATAAAGTCAAAACAGATTTTTGAATTTAATATTCAAAGTCCATAATGACTCATGAACCATGGAGGGTCGAATCAGCGAAGCAAAAAATCTTTGAACTTCACTTCATCGTACCGAAAGTGCATATTGCGTGATCCAGGGTATATAATCCGAGACTCGCGTATATACACCAGGAAGTCGTGGTCGGGCGCATCCTATCCCCGACGAGACTACACCCACGACCATCATGCTATCGCCAGAATGACCTCCAATCATTAAAGGACCGCCACTGTCCGCCTAAAACAAACAATGATTATTCGAACCACTTCTATACAATTTGATACTAATGGTTTTATCATTAACATGTTGATTGCCACAAGAGACACTGACGACCACTGACGTCAAAATCAATTAAAACACATCAAGTATTCCGTAATATTGTATTTGTACAGTTATCGATACTGATGATATTGGTACATAAATCGGTAATCTTCTACACAATAGGTGTACAAAGTATGATAACATAGCTCGACTCAATTATTTTATATATTTTCTTCTTATGTACTCCGTTCAGTGAACACTTAAAACATTATGATTTGAGTAGTTATGAATTAACTGTATTATAATTTCCCTGTCTGCCAATATCATAATTTAGAGATAATTGTAATTGATTCTAATGGAAATTTTACTTATAGTCAATTTCAAGATAACTTGCGAACACTCTCAAATACTCAATTATATTGTCTACTTAACAGTCACGGCAGACTGAACGAAGGACTTATAGATCATCGGGAGTGTTCGATGAAGTGGTAAACACTTTTCAAATGGTCCACGGAACGGAATCGCGAACACGCAGACAAAACTATTCGCGAGCGTTTTCGTGTCAGTTGTACATTTTTCTGGGCAGTCATATTTTCTCAACACATTTCTCGGTGGTTCCCGAGGTATTCTGTGGGGTTTTTCTTCTTTCACCGATTTTTATTTTATTTTGTTTCGCGGTCGAACAATTTGGCCCGTGACCGAGCCACCCTCTCCAGCGGGCCTCTGCTGTTAATTCAACATATGCACGGCGGACTGCATGACCGCGGATATTTATTGAAATTCATGTCGCGGTCGTTCGACGGCGCGTGAATTTCGTGTATGAACGATTGACATGCAACGCGGGGGCGCTAACTAGCGACATATGAATGGAATAAGAGGGATCGATACAGGGCCTGGCGAAACCAACGAGTATACTTGACGGTAACGATACACTCAGGTGGTGAACCCAAGGGGACTATAAACGGAAGCACATTTGTTTTTGTGAGTTCAATTCCAACGTAAGATTTTGAAGTGAACAACGTGCTGCTTACGTCTAGTCAAAGTTTGTCCCATGAAAACGGTAACTTTCTTTATTCCGATAGAACTCTTTGTGCTTACAGAAGACAGACATATTCTATTTACAGAAGATATTGTATAATTTGTAATAAAATGGTATTTCGATGATGTTGCGACAGGAAATCATCACTGGCATAGTTCGCCATAGGACAGTACACTAAAAGTGCTTTGTCAAACCACTGATTTGTGGTAGTTTTTATTACTAGGATACTAAAATTTTTGAAGTCCTTTTCCTGAATACCTCTATCTCCTATCTTCCCTAGCGGTCCAAGTTCTAACTGTAAGCACTCAACCTTAGTTTCGATCCTGGCAAATACTGGACTTCTCCCTAACTGGACTTACACGGAGGTCAAGAGCCAATGATAATAACAATAATAATAATTCCTTACTGCTACGGTACCCTTTGTTGACCTAAACATCCAGTGGACCTCTGTTTATGGCATTGCTGGACTTACTACGTCACCGTACCGTTACCGTCCAGTAGGGTATCCACCGGGAAGTGGACAAATGATGCCAGTGGCGGATTTCACTTACCCAGCAAGAGTCTCTGCCGCCTTCTTCGTGGCCGGCGCACATTTGCCTGGGCTCCACGCGAGTCGACTTGCCCTGGCTGGCGTACCATTCGCGACAAACGCTATTCTCGATCACGCGAAGGTCCACTTTCTGCAGGACATCTGCTCGTTTGTCTGGAAGATAACGGACGTGTACGTTATTTGATACGTAGTCCACAGTACCTAGGTATCTTTCACAATACAAACAAGCTTTAATTGCTGACGATGTCTTATGAACGTATGTGGGGGAAATATATCATTACTTTTGGTCTATTCAAAACTGATGATTTTTCCTGTAGTTAGGTGAATAAATTTTATCATTCTCATGTTGCAAAGTACGACTTGCTACTTCAAGAAATATAGAGGTATAATCTGTTAAAAGATGCAAAATTTAATTACCAAGCAGACGCTATCACCAATTAATTTGCAGTTCCCAGTTTTCTTTTAATCTTCAAAGAATTAACGTAACCAATTAAAATTTTATCAGCTCTTTGAACACCTGTATGCATTTTTTAAAACACGTTGTGCTTGTGAAAAAGTTGATTATACATATACTTAGGAATAAAAGTATAGAAATTGGCAAAAAGCGTTGCAAAACCATTAGCAGTGGGAATTTCATCGTTAACCAAGAAAGCTTTCACGGCGCGTCCGCGACGGGAATTATCGTGAATCTAAAAGCATTCCAGTTACGTAGCTGAAATTTGATTTCTCGGAAAGCGTCTTTTGGCCGAAAGTTAAATTCGAACGCTAGCCCTAGTTCCAGCGTGTCGGCCAAGTAAGCAAAAACTTTTGTAGAATGCAATTCCGATGGCGAATTCGGTTAGATGCTCCGGGCCCATTGCAGCGAAACTTTGCAGTACATGTTGATAACTTCTCCGTGTCTTTACTTATTTAATTGAACGGCAACGATCGCGTCGTTAATAAAGCAAACTCCGCAAGAAGCGACCTAACTTCCTCTTATCTTTCTTAATCCAACTTGCTTTCGCCTATGGGGCCGTCGTTCGTTCGTTTCCGCGGCTCGTTTAAAAATGTTCCCGCCGCGAAAAAACGGGTATCGCGTGATGTGTAATTAATTACATGAAAAATTAAAATAGTCAATGTTGGCGATCTTTTTGTCCTAGCCGAATTGGACTATCACTATCAGTATTTACATCCTTGTGCTTCTTCGAAAAAATATGTGATACTGTGAGCAACGGGAGTATTTGAACAATACATTTTGAGATGTATATCCTTGTAATAAATATTTCATAATTAAATGTTCTTCATTCGAACGTAATATTTGTACAACCTTGATATGTGTAGGAAATTATTATGTTATCCCACCCTTCGAATACTTTCATGGTTGACTGTATATCATATTGAAACGTATAGCGTTGGTTAGTGTAAATAATGATAGAATAACAAAAGTCAAACTTCAAGCACCAAGTGTTTTCAAACGCATTTCATACGTTTCTATGCACTTTCGGAAGTGTGGTTATTCATTAGCGAAGAATATGCAACTAAAAGCAGACATTTACCAAGGGATGAAATACTTATGAGTGGTAGCGTGTTTGAAAAGGGGTCCGAGGATTATTTACTTACTTTTGGACCTGTCTTCGCCGAGCCAACCCCAACCGGCAGCCTTAGCTAGTTCCCCGCCGAAGGCACTGTATCCCGGTTTCCCTGTGGCCACAGGTAAACAAGCGGGTTTCACGCTTTCCGACCAAGGGATTGGCCGGGCAAGTTCCAGAAGGGCAATATCGTCCACGAATTTTCCGCATTTGTGGCCTGGATGCAGAATAACGTTCGCCACTCTCTCTTCCCTTGACGGAGGGACTTCCGGTCCCCTCAAATTGTATTCCCCTAGACTGACCCTCAGTTGACCAGTGGGGATCACGGATGTCGCCCTGTTTCCAACAAAAAAACAAGATCTTTCGTTTGTAAAGATATTTAAATAACGTAGAATTTACGTCTGACATGAATATTGATAACTAATTGGGTTCGTGAAATAACTCGAAACTGCGCTCTAGCCGACTTAGAGTCCATTGTGAGTTTCAGAATGAATTTTCTTCCGTACATGTCGTCGCTTTAGTTCTTAAGTGTTCTATCTTCACTAGTTTCTAAACTGAGAACACTGAGTTTAAAGTTTACGAAGTTTAATATTTTAGAAGTAGGCAAGTAGTGAAATAATCAAACACATTATAATATCATCTACCAAATAACTGTTTATTGCAATATTTAATAAAATTTTATCGTATTAACCAAATAAATTTTTAATTGTTGTTAGTATTTGGAGATACAACTATTAAGAAACAAGAATTTTCAAACTTTTGGAGTTAGGACTTAAGAGAATATTTGTTGTTTTTTAGGTTGAACTTTTTTTATATTCTGGTGAATTTGTATTCTTTCGGCCAATGGGACGTAGATAGATTGAGTATCTAAATTTTGTTGAAAAATGGAGTTAGAACAATTAAGAATTCGTGCGACGATATGTACATGGTAAGATTGGTTGGAGTCGCGAAGCTTCGAATATATGATGCTTGAACTTACAAAAATTCGTACATAGTGTTTCACCACATCAGCGGAGGCTGAAAGTAAGGAGATTAAAGCGCGGTAGGAGCTAATCTATAAAGAGGTCCGGCTAACCAAAAACAACGAAATATAAGTTGCGAAGCTGTTCACCGACTCGACGGGCAAAGTACAAAATGAAACGAGTTAATCATCGAGAGCAACATTTCCTCCAGGCTAACTTTTTAAGCTCCCGCTTTGCGAAGCTTCGCTGGGTTACGTTGAAAAATGTCCAGGTATAACATCCACTTTATACGCATTACGGATACATGTAGGTCAAGTAGGACAAATAGGCTCCTTCCGTTCTCTCAGCCTTCTTCAGCTCGTGAATAGTCGAACCCAAAGATAATGCCGCATTTCGCCGGCTAGTAATCATCGTGAAAGTTAAATGCACCGTACACGAAGTGTATGGGTACATTACGGATGGAAAGTTTAAAAGATGTTCCTTATTCTTATGTACATATTTCCTCGTGTTTATTTTAATCTTCACGCTGTCGACACGGTTACTTTTAACTTTAATAACGCATGAAATCAATGAAATGTGCCTAGAATGAGATACTACAACACACACGTGTAATATTGGCCAGACAAGTGGAAATAACTCGTTAATGACCAGGCAAGTAGAATGCGTGATCAATGATCAGACAAGTAGAATATGTGACCAAGGAACAGATAAGTAGAATATGCGTCGAATGACCAGACGAGTAAAATAGACAATTGAATTGAATAGACCAGACAAGTGGAATATTTTGTAAGCCACTTAATGGTTCACAAGATTTAAAGACGGCAGTAAAGATTTAATCGTTGATGAATGTCGCGTACAAGAGGACAATGATTACGTTTTTCATTCATTGTTTCTTCAGTGAGTCTCAGATGTCATAATACACTTTCGATAAACGCTAATTATTCATCCAGTGTGTACGTATACCTAGACCCATTGCATCGCAGATAAAATTCAACAAAATCTAATTTCAATCCTCGAAATACATTTCATGGTCATATATGTATAGCCACTAGCTATAAGTTTCTGCAAATATTTTCATTCTCGTTCTACACGAAGACAGTTGCCAGGAAACAGAGTGAGTAAGAGTTACCCAATACTTTCTGACAATCTAATGTACAAAATCCTAGAAATTTATTACTACTTCCACACTTTTAGTTGACACTATATACACAGAACAAAACAGACACCCCATTATTTTACTCTTCTGTTTCCTTGAACTCCGTCCATTTCCCCATCCGAAAGCAAGGAAAAGTCAGTTCTTTCGCGAGTACTGTCTTTGTCCCGGACGTTGGCAATTATTTAACCGGGATTTTTGTGTTCCACCCCGTAACGCGACGTTCACCCACCATCCCCGGCGGCGTGGTTGTTGTTCGAATGGTCCAGAGCACAGTGGTTTCGGTTAATTAATCGGTCAACGTCAGCCCCGAATAACTAACAAAATTATGGCGTGAAACGGGTTTTCGTCTCTCTCCAGGCCGTTTCTCTCGCATTACGGGGGATTGTTTCGTCCCAGTTTCTTCGTAGCCGTGATTCCTCCACGGCCAGGCCAAGGTGGCGCAATCATACTCGAGTAGTCGCGAGCCGTTTCCCCGTAGTTTCGAGGCCCCTGGCTTCCCTACGCTTCTTACGGAACCCCCTTTAATGTCCCTCCCCATTTTCCCCCTGCCCTATTCCAACCCTCGTCGTGGCCCTTCTCTCCCATTGTACCACCCGTGGCTGGGGATTATGCGATTTAATCTGGATGCATCATCGCCACTCCTCCCTACCATTATCCTCGCGCCCCTTCCAATTAAAATGCACTGCTGGCTAAACGCTGGATCAGGCGGGAAAGGGTGAAGGAGTGGCTTTTCTTCTTTTCTCTTTTTCGTCACGGAAGCGGAACCATTAATTGCGCGTTAATCTGGTTGTAAAGTCTGTCGCGGGGAGAATGCTAGTTATTTCGCGGTTAAGGTTCACTTTGCCTGTGTTCTTTTTTTTCCATTGTTCAGCGACTACCGAACATTGACTTGGAACCACTTCTTTGGTAGTCAATGAAGCGTTTCTATTGCCTGTGTGTGATATTTGTTCCAGGACACTCTATATAGGGTTAATAGAGTGAAGTTGGTGCTTGCATTTTGTAATTCAGAGAGCATCGTTTAGTTCTTGTCGACGAATTTGATAATACGAAGTTGAAGCTGAAAACCGATGGGAATAACTTCCAGTCGATTTTCTTGATCAAACGTAAGGACTGAAGTTTTCAATGTACATTAGATGGCAAACTCTATTTAAGTTCTAGATGAAGTCTGCATCTTCGTGATAGAATTATTTAGCAAAATGGCTGCGGTTGCTCCCGATGTATTCAGTAATAATTGGAACTCAAGAATTTGTGATAATTACTGGGTCCAGTCAGCGTGTCTCCATGCGATCTTGATGACGGAAGTGTGAAAGATTGAATTGTTTGAAAGTATATTAACAAAATTCTTGAAAATTACAAACTTCAGTGAAGTATACTTCAAGACTTAATTAAAAATCTGTCATTTTATATCACAATATAATCAAAATATTGCTACTATCGCTATCGTTTGTATGTTCCTATTGTATTTAATCATCGCTATTAAATGGAATTGGTAATGTTATTTAAAGGTGATTGCACGCCAAAGACCGATGAACTGTTTACGAAGTTCTCCTGGTTTCTTGGGTACGCCGTCCTGCATTTTTCATGCCGCGAGATAGTACCCGCAAATAATTCTTTTTCGCGCGCGCGCGGGCAGTCGCATTAACGAAATTTATTTCGGGCCGTTTCCGTGAACGATAAAGAAATCGCAGACAATGGCCAGAGTCGGATATATTTTCACGACCTCGCGCCTGGTGGCAACGTTTTGTCATGCGTTTTGCATGGCCGCTAGCAATTACCGAGTGGTCTGTAATCTACACGCAATCATGGTTTACAACGCCGAAGCTCCGTTGGATTCTCTCTCTGGCCACCCTGTCCGGTTTCAACCCTCTCACGTCCCCTTTCTCCGTTCCTCTCACCCTCTCGGTCTGTATGTATATATATATATATATATGTATACATATACGCTCGACCGAGAGAGATAGGCAATGTCTACACGTTTCATCGCGCAGCGTTACTGTCTCGACGTTTAATTACACCTGCCTGGACACAGCTCCACGTAAATCTGCTCCCAATATCCAGCCGAGAAGAAATTTTAAATATTTTTCATCTCGATGCTTTCTAGTGATTTTAACGAATGTTAATATCGTAACGATCTTTGAGATCGTTTAGTATTCCGGTTGCTATGGAAAGCGTCAATTAACACTAGAACTACCGAAGATGAACCTGTCTCCATTTCCATCAGGTTGGTAAAAGGAACAGCTTGTTGAAAATATGCAACTTGATAAATCGACGAATTTCGTTACTTGTATATTAAATTTTATAGATGAGATTATGGAGACTTGTTTATATTATTCGCTAAAGGTGAACTGGACAAACGTTTGAAAACAGTGAACAATATTTACACGTAGTGTAATTAGCAGAAGCCTCCTCAGAGGGGGACTTAGACTAAAAATTCACGTATTATGTTTAATAATAAAATATATCAAGGTAGCTATTATGGCTATCATTTCTAGAGCTAAACTTCTCAATCTACCTATTTCATTTCATTATCTCTAAACATATTAATGTCATTCACAAAGTATAAGAATCCACTCCGTACAATTGTCACCAATTCAACAAAACAAAATTTCATTTCAATCGAACCAATGAAACCTTAACAAATTACGTGTTAAGAGCCCTGGGAGTAATCTCCAGTTATGCACACATTACCATTTGTCCGCGTAACTAAAATTTCCCTCGATTACGAAAATATTTTATTTCACTTATATATGGACGCATTTTAACGGGCGATACAACCGTGGCCGCCATTTACCTTTATCGTTCGATACATCTGGTTTTCAGCGTTGATCGTTACCGCCGTTTAATACAATCTGGACCCTTGACTCTATTTGCCTGGCGTGTTTACCAATGCGGACACCGCCGCGGCAGTTGTTAACCGGTGACAATGGCACCTCGCATTTCCATGCATCGTCGCCACGCCGGAAAAATACGCTCGAGGTTACATTTAAAATGTAATCGTTCGTTTTATAGAATTTTAACGGAACGATTGCTCTTTCGTCCGGTCATTTGATAATCGTGAAACAACCATGAAACCACACGAAATGTGTGTCGATCAAACGCAGAATCGACTCCGTGAGCTGTATTTGCGTGCATTGATTTGTCGAAACAGCAAACATTACATCTCGTCTCTCTGCCTGATCGTATCTTGTCACAAGCGTTCGATATTGAATTTTGTATTTTTATTCGTAACGATGTTATTAAGTTTCTAAACGGAAATTGAAATCAAAGTTTTCCATAAAATAACGATGGAAACCTCTCTCCATCATCAAATATTAAAAATAGTTTTCTATTAAAGAGATATACTGTTCTCAATAATTATGGGAACTTTGGGAATGGCTCTGATAATTGTTCTTAAAGATAGTAAAAAGGATGATGGTTGCAACATTTTGCTCTCAAAAGTTATTTCACGGTTTGATTGTTCACCGTTTCCATCCAATTCAGCTACATGAAACTAATTACTGTTATCCAAATTGAACACGACGACATAGAAACGACAATCTAAAATCGTTTTGACATTCACAGGGCTTCAAGGACTACTTTCACTGTCATCAAGAATTACTAGAGTTATTTCCAGTGTTTGCATAATTATCATGAACATTATATATCTTCAGAAGGAAACTGGTGTTCTAACTTCAATTCGGAAACTTTTTGGACAAATTCTGCAACCCCTGCCGTTGAGAAAAAGAAGAAAGACACTGTATAAACAGAAGTATCGACATACTTAGATCCCCCGTATCAAATTATACCGAACGGAACGAAATTCGAAGTTTTTACAGCAGAATTTACGCAATTTCAAAAATGATTTAATTCTCTGCTCGTTACAGATCCGACATATCCAGGGACACCGAGTCGAAATGAAAAATTTCTCTCGCGAATACGAGGCCGTATACAAAGTATTTCCGCGTTCTACGAGGAAAGCTACATGCTCCGCGACGGGGCTGGGATTTTACACCGAGTTTTTACGCGCCTTTCGTAATTTTTTGGACAGGGCCCGTTAAACTTTTTATCCCCCCGCGTGGCGCGTGATGATTTTTGCAAAACGCCCCCAGTCGTGACCGACGAGTACCAGGGGACCTGTTTCTAGATTTTTAAACCAGCACGGATTCGTGCAGATTGCCCGGACGGATTAAGTGGATTATGTCGTAGTCGACTTCGCAGAGCCTTTTGAGGCGGCTGGATCTTGAAAAATTAAACCGCCCCGACCGTGGTTTAAACAGCGCGCGCCAACTCTCGCCCCGCTGTTGCTCCCTCGTGCTTAACTTTCGGAGAATGGAAGCGTGTAATCCGTCCGTTTACGACGCACGATTTTTTTTATTGAAGACGGTAAAGTGGTTTCGTGAGTCGTACGATTGACGTAAAGTGATTTCGTTTATTGCGGAAGTAATCCTCCAGTTGGTAAGTACACGCAGGAGTTTTGGAAGAAATTTGTGAATTTTAAAAATCAAAGGGGAATACAATTAAAGTGTTGTAGATTCTAGAGTTTCAGGGGATTTGCATGAATGTGGGAATGTTGGGGGTTTTGTAGCCTCAGGAGATTAGGAAGGTTCTTAGGTCTGTTAATCGCGAATTTTCTCGGACCCTTGCCCCCTTCTTGTAACTTTAGGCATTTTTGAGAATCTCGAAATTCTGCAAATCCACGGTGATCCCAAGATTCTCCAGATCCATGCATTCTTTAAGAACCCCGAAATGTTTGAAATTTACAATTAGGTCCTTTTAATCCTACAAAATCTCTATATTCTTCCGAACTCTCTAATTCCCTGAGATCACTAGAATCATTGGGTTTCTCAATTTCCTCGATGTCCTAGATACTCAAATCTTTTGTGACTTCTGAGAACTCCAAGATCTTCCAAATCTATCGCCACTTTGGGAAACCTCTAGTTCTATGATAACCATACATTTCTTCAAAACCTTTGACACTCACGAAACTCATTGGACGCAGCTACATTATAAAGAGCTCAGGTGTCCTTTAAGACTCTGTATCATCTACGTAACAATACAATGTAATCGGTAGACGTCTACTCCATCACTTTGGTGACAACACCTGGAACATTTCTCGACGATCGGCAGCAAGAAATTTCATTAAATGACACCCAGGCATTAGCAAAATAATATTATTGTGATTACTAGTTCGTTACTCATCGTGAGCAATTTTATATTAAAAAAAATATTTAAAAAATGTTTTAAATAGTCTTAAAGTGACTATTTGTTCTTAATTATCTGAAAAAAACTTTTTGTACAAGATACCAAAAAGATGTAGTTAGCGGGTTAATGGTATTCGATCAAGTGCTTATACGGCGTAAATATCGCAATATTCCGTGTTTTTCAAACTCGCAATAAACGACAAGGCAATCGTGTGACCGTAGTACCGTAAACAAAATATACAAAAAATCACCCGATTCAGGTTCAACGGGGATTAACCGCGTGGGCGTCGACCGTCATTTTTCAATCCACGCGATCGTATCGGAATAATTACAGCACGGTTTGTTGGACAAGGTGGTTGGCCGCGTCGCGCTGACATTTACGCGGCTGCGATACCGCGAGTTGCGCAAAATTTTGGGGCACAGCGTGGACCGAGCCTGTGAATATCGTTTTTCCTCGATAAGATCTCTCTGTGCGTGTGACGTAATTTCGATTACGGGGAACAACGGGGCCGGTTTTCCATGAAGAAATAGTCGGTTTCCCGCCATGAATATTTTCGAGGGCAGCCTGCATATTGATTACGCGAAACACGCGTATACCAGCATTATTGTAAAGAATGGAGATATAAACTACGCCCCGGGATCGATATTAACGTTATGGAGTGTAATGCTTTGAAATTTAGATGCCGTTTTTTCCCTTCCCCACTCCGACGATATATCCCCCGTCGAGGATACGAACTATCGAATTTAACGGGTGCGCGGTTGTTCGGCTCGGAGTTCATAAATATTGTTTTGATGGAATATCGTGGAAATTTGCAGCTTCGATCGATCGATGAATACTATTGCTTTCAGGGAATATAACGATTATTTTTCGCTTCGATGACTGTAATTTCTTCAAAATCTAACATTTATGTACCTTACATCATCTGGTTGGAAACTGCTGATAAGAAATTTACATCAAGTAATTATCACTTTATGGAAATTATTTTACATTCATAATCTACTGTTACACTATTTATTTCCTCTCGTGAAGAACGATTCGAGACTACATGAGACGTTCTTGGGACGTAATTATCATTTAGTATCATAGCTAATTATATAACGAGTAGCATAGTTATTCGGAATTTTTATAAAGAATTACGTGATGTCGTAGATATGGAAATACAGAATTGATGTTCCATCGGTTGAAAGGGAATCATGTGTCGCGAAACAGATGGAAAAAAACAGCGTGGGGTATACTTACGTGCACAAACAATGGGCCGCAGTCAGTATGAATTTTGAGTTAAGAATGGTACCGCCGCAGAAGTGTCCTCCTTTTCTGCTGATGCTAACCATCCAAGGAAATTCGTGCGGTATCGCGTTTTGTCCTCCGACGAGTCTCGCCGCGCGTGTGCCAATTGCTCCTCGCCCGCATGGTACATCCGCAACTGTTATCAAACATCCATCTTATCAGCGTCCAACGAAAACAGTAATTAATCACGACAATAAGAGCAACATATATACCTAACCTCATCGATTACAATTCATGAAAATTACAAGAACAAAGGGGAATAGGTTCGAAACAGTTGCAACCACCTCCGTACTCAATTTCATTCTTCTTTTTGTTTGTTTTTTGTTTCATTAAACGAGCCCGCACGCCAGGAGCAGCGGGCTTGCACTCGAGCCAGGAAAGTTCGTTTCAACTTTTATCGGAAATAATCACTTAGCAAACAGCGTGTTCATTAACACCGAACGAGATCCAATTTCGTTCACACATCGCGAATTACACGTTTCTCCAGTCGAGTATGTTGTAAATGTTGAAGAAAAATATCTTGTCTGAAATGCGTTAACGAGAAAGTGAACTAACTTCTTTATCATCCAGCTTCTTCGAACACCCGAATAATTCTCAGACCAAGATGTAACATTGGTTATTCCCCGACTTCCAAACGGAAAGGATTCGATCCACTCTGTCTAAAGGATCTCCTACGAAACCGAACAAACAGCTTCAGACCTTCTCAAATCTGTTCAAACGACACGATCGACGAATCATCTGCAAAAGAGGGTGGAGGAGGGTAGGTGTCCGCGGATGCAACCGGTTTAATTGAAACCTGAAGCGGCGCGTACACCGGAATGTTAACCGATTCAAGAGGATCGCAGGCCGGCGAACGGTACCGGTACTGGCATCGCGCGAATTTAATGCCCCGAGCAGATAGGGATAGATACGGCGGATCTGTCACCGCAATCCCTGCGACATCCCCTGGCCTCCCTTTGGCCCTCCACCGAATCCCCTCTCGTTTCACGCCCCGGCTGATTAATTGGACCTCTACGTCTGCACCATTCTATCCCACCACCCCCTTTTCCTTCCCTATGGCTAGCGGGGCTCCTGCAACCCCTCGTCCAGGATCCAGTCCCTTTCTCCGCTTCCGTCCTCTGGTTTCTCTTCTCTTCGGCCCCGTTGACAACGACGATCGAAAGGGAGGACGAGCGGAAAGGAGACAGAGAAAGAGATAGAGGGTTGGGAGAAGGGGGCGGAACAGGCATAGAATTCGAAGTCGCCTCTATTCGGAAACGCGTAATAGATATGTCAAAAGCAGGCCGAACATGGTCATGATAATATGCTACCTCCCCCCCTACGATCTTACTCGCTCACGTTCACTCGCTTAGGGTTTCCACTCTCAAACCTGCTCTTCTTCACTATAGGCCTGTCTCGTTTCTTTTTTTTTTTTTTTGGTAGACTGAGAGATTCTTTTTTCGAGACTTTTGTAGGGATTCTGACTGCTGGTGGCACGCGGATCCGGTTATTTTCACTGAAAGGCTAACCCTTTAGGTTTCCATCTTCATGCTCCCTTCGGTTCTTTGTGTACATTTGTGGTTGGGTTTTGTGTGTTTGGACCGGTGGATGGGTATTGCGGTGTGATTCTCGGGGAGATTGAATACTCGTCGAGGTTGTTCGGTTGTGTGGTGTAAATATTCTAGGTAAATGTAGTTGATGGGTATCTTTTGAGAAATTGCACCATGGTTGTGCAGAATGTGTCGAGAAGATTGGTTGGTAATTTGGACATTCTGTGGGAAGACTGAGCACTCGTCGAGATCGTTTGTTTAGAGTGTGTGAATACTTTTGGTCAGTCTAGCTGATAGTAATTGTATATTGCTGAATTGTAAGAATGTTATTGGGTGGATGCACCGGTAAATAAACATTGTATGTATATAAAAACGAATTAATTAAGCTATTAAAATAAGCAAACGATTAAGTATTGATTTTTTTCAACTTCTTGTTTCATATTCAAACAATTTTCTTGTCACTGGTTAGAAATGTTCATTTACTTAATGTTGTTCATTCACTGGTGAAATCTGTACTTTTTCTTGTTAATTTAATTAATTACATTTTTTTATTTTTTCAAATTGAAATCTATACATTTTAAAAATTTGATGTACCAAATGTATATTAATGTTATTATCATTTACACTTCGACTTTACTAGTTACAAAATCTCTTGTGTGTTCATTTCTTGGTCCGTTTATCCTATAGGATGTGTAAAAAACAACGTGGGCAGGGCTTTCAATATAAATATTCATATTCAACGTCCGATCAGAAATGTTTATATATCCTTTAAAAGCAAACAATTTAAAATTCTCCTCACTATTGAAAGCTGTTCAAATACCATAGCATTCAAAACACAGAATTTATTCAACTCGAGTTCAATTTATCATTTTCAATGCAGGATGATCCACGCACCATTTTTGTTATTTATTTTTCCCAAACCAAAGATAATTCAAATTTTTTTCTGTATATATCCCAGTTTCACCGAACACCCTTCATGTCACATATTTGTTAAATGTTTTATTTCGTTTCCGTGAAAAATGGCCGTCGTTTGCGTACCACGCGTTTCCGCAGAGTGTTTCTCGCGGACGTGCTCGCGCACGGATTAAAAAGGCCGGCCGGCAGGAAAAGAATTACCATTTTAAAAGATCGATTAAAACTCGTCACATCTAAATCCCCGGGCCTGTTTAATAGCGCGGAATATTTTTATCAGCCGCGTGGATGAAATTTCCGACGGAATTCTGGGGAGCCGTGCGCGCGCGTGGTTGCTCGCCCGTAAAATTCAGTAGTACAAAACACGGACGTCGCGGCGTATGATATATGGGACTGTAAAGGATTAATTGAGGCTGTCTAGATCGATTGCAATTTATCTTGATAATTAATTTATCTTGCCGGCCAATACGAGATGACATTATAACCTCCCCGTCGTCGCCGGTTATGAAAATGATTTACGTAATCGTAACAGAAATATTTCACTAATATTATATCCGTAGAGAGTGGAATTTCGAGCGGTCGAAACGTGGTCGATGATCGATATATCGACTGATCGAGCTGAATTCAATTTTCTTGGAAAAGAAACAAAATTTAATGAAACACATTGCTAGCCTTCTTTAAATCGTTCGTTGCAATTCTCTCTCTGCCGCTTACAGGTTCGTGGAATCCGTGGAACGTTAATGGACGTTGATTCTCGTTGCTGATAAGATAACTATCGGGTATAAGTCAGAGTAATTTTCAGCTCGGTATCGGAGATCGGAGGGATCGACGTACGGGACGAGGAGGCCATCGATCATACGCGTCGTAATTACCGTCTCGTTAGGGCTTCGAATTGATTCCGGGGGAATACTCGAAGAAACATCGGTTCGATTTTCAGTCTGGCGTCAGCGTTCGGTTAAATGATAACCGATTGCTCTTAGAGATTGCTTTTAGAGGCAGAACCGTTGTTCCAATACTCTTGGACAGGAGCGTATTTTCAAACGAATTTTTTATTCCCTCATTTATTCACTCAAATAACTCATGTATTAACTTGCATCACAATATTTCTATTCACGTAAATTACATCGTAATTGCACGATAATCGAGGCACAAAGTGCATTAGATCGCCCTCTATTGATTTCAAATTGCGCTTATCTAGGCATATATCAACAAAAAGTTAACATGTTAATTGAACGAAAATCGAGGCGCTTCCGTTTCGCTAATTTCCCTGCAATTATGTATACCCCATTATCGTGATCACCATCACACGTGAGGGCGTGCGTGCCATTAATTTGTCCCTCGGCGCGTCACACGTGAATAACTGACGCGAGAAATTTGGAAATTGCGACTCCATCGACGCGTATCCGACGATGTTTGGCGGATGACCTTCGCCAGGTTAAGAACCTTTGGTCAGGGTCGCGACGGTGGGACATTGCCCGGGCCAGGTGTCTAAATTTTCTAGTCGACGAGCCGATCGAGGCCGTACACCTTCCCAACTTTCGGCCTTCGTACAGGTTAACCACCCACTTCTCTATTCCGCTCGTGCCCGCCTTCCGCCTACGTAACGCTCTCGCTTATCTAAGACTAGGTTACGGCCGACCGTACCAGGTTTCCGCATAGTTTTCGATTCCCTGATCCTTTGTCCTTCACTTTTCTAGCGTAAAACTGTGTTTGATTATTTCACTATTTTCCTGCTTCTTTAATATTAAACTTCGTAAACTTTAAACACAGTTTTCTCAGTTTAGAAACTAATGGAGATAGAATACTTAAGAACCACAGCGACGATATATTAACACGATTAACGTAAAATATTAGAGTAATTCACTCGAATGTAATTTTTATTGTATGAAGGCGAAGGTGAGGATTGAACTGGTAAAAGTGATTCTAAGATGAATATCCGTAGAAATTTTAGTTCTATTTGGAAAATCTCTGAAATTGCAACAAATCCATCGAAGATACTCGAAAACCAAAAGCACAACTGATTAATTAGCCAGGATGACGCTCTGTGGTCACGAGGGCACGGGAATATATGTATTCACCGCTCCCAGTCTGTCGTTCATTTAACCGTAGCGGAGTATTAAACGCAGAGCGGAAGTAAATGGAGAGCCCGAGGATAGAAGCTTGTGGATTACGATAGAACACAGGAAGTTAATAAACCGAATTTAGTGTTCGCCATTAGCGACGGTGCGACCTTTTGTAGTATCTCGAATCCAATATCCGAGAGTGTCTCGCGTGGTAGACAAGGATGGAGAACCACATACGGCGCGGATACGATAGAGATTTCGATAAAAGGTCAGAAAAAGTTAAATCCGTCAAGATCGAATCTATTTCGAACCATTTGCTTTCCGTTCCCGTTCCCACCGTCAAATATTTCAGTTATTCGGGAATATGAATTTGCAAACGATGTGGGATCGAATGATCGTTAACGATTCTGCCCGACGAATTTAAATATCGTTCGATGGATATTTATTAAACGTAACAATTTTCCGCGACATTAATCGTTGGTGGTGAACGCTGGAACCAGAGTTACAGGAAATGACAAGCTTAACGTTGAATTTTCAGCTCATTCATTACCGATGAATGCAGTGGCGCAGTTGCGGACCGGCCACGCGTGATCGGCTTTCGAAGCGAATCGAATTCTAATATTTCTTAGCGTACTATGAAATATGGGCGTTCACGTTGTATCATCGTATATTTAATACCTTCGAAATACTTCGTTTTGTCAAATGTATTCTGATTATTTAAAAATAATTCAGAACAGATCGCGAGAGATGACGTTTGTTCTACTTCATTTCAAGAACTTTTTTAAGAGTGATTGTAAAGGTTTTTACAGGGTTTTTACGGTTTTGTAAAGTTTTGACTACTGTTTCTTGGTTGTTGTAATTGACAAAGTAGAGTCGTTCAGGATCCAACTTTCATTAGCATTTACATATCTTATGTACACCCACTTAAATATTATTCAATCCTGAATTTAATATAAAGTCTATGAATTGTGCACTTTTGATTAGGTCAAATAAACGTGATCTAAAATCTTTGATAATTACATATCACTAAGAACACTTCGTCTTCCAAATTCACCTCCACAGTTTCACAAACATGTAAGAAAAATAACTAAAAAATTGTCAGAACTTGTAACTTTGAAACTGTAACAGTACTTCAGACAAGTTTTTAGTAACCCTTCGTGTTCTATCGATGATTAATTACTCACGATTAATGTATTCCGAGGAGACGTGGTTGGCAGCCGCGGCGAACAGCACGAGGACCAAAATGGCGGAAGGTGATCGCGAGATCATGGTGTTCCGGTCCTCGGTCAGGCTTCGTCGGAGGACAATGAAAAAGTGTCGCAGACAGTTCGGTATCGGGTGTTCTTTATACGGTGTGTCTGTTACGATTGCATCCTTCTCGTCGATCAGTCTCGTTCCTTGTCTCCCCTACCACCGACGAATCGAGGAGGCTCGAACTTCCCATCCGACGTTTCACGACCATCGATACGATTGCTGCGGCTCTCGCGGCCGGAAACCCAATGATAATACCAGTACAAAGCCACGACCGCGGCCCCGATCATTCCAAGGTGATTCCTTCGCGTTTAACACGCCGAACGACGCGTGCCACTCGAAACGGCTGCTCTCGGTCGAGGGTCAAGGGACAGAGATACGCATCGATCATGACGCCTGGGATCAGCGATTCTGACGTCCCTGAAGGTTATTCGTACAACTCTGTTTATTTGAACTTCAGCTATTGGAAGGAAATTTTAGTTAGTGTTCGATTTATTGAACCGCAGAGTTTCTATTGTCGGAACTATCGCCCAGTATCACTGTAGTTATATGAAGATCTGGAGGAGCTGGAAGGTAAACAGTAGATCAACGTGTTGAGAAAATCACAGTCGTACTTAGTTTATAATTAGGAATGTGTAAAATTTCTTTCAAAAATTGGAAGGTTTTGAAATATTACTATAAGCAGAAGAATGAGCAAATGTATGTTTGAATTCACTTATCTCTGACCGTCGTTAGTTTGATTGTTCACTGCACTCGTCGATCGATGATGATCAAAAGTTTGAGTTCATTTTTAGCCTCCCCAAAAAATATTCTAATGTAAATTATACTACAATGTGTTTTAATTCACGTGTATTGGGATACAAGGGAATGACTGAGTATAAAGACGATTCTTGAAAGGAAATTGCGTTTCCAAGAAATCGAACAGAAAAGTTCATTGAAGAACAATTAGATCCACATGGAGAATATTTCGTTGACAGTATAGCGTCAAATATTTGCATGCTGACGAGGCTTTTTCTTTTTAATATCATATAACGAACGGTCAATAAACGGGCGCAGACTTCTGAGCTGAATCAAAAACAGCGTGAAGATTTCCAGCAAGAGACCTCGATAATTGAGTCAATAACAGTTCCAAAAAACACTAAACCGTCTCCACATTTCTTTCTCAGCTCCCGACAGTTTCCATTCGTACAATAATCCGACGGTTATTATGCGATCTCGTTATGCAGCGGCGTTTTAACAAGATTGGCGCCGTTCTCGGATAACACTATCCAATTACGTTTCACCCTTTTAGATGATCATTCAGATAAACGTGGTCTACGACGCAAAAGATCGTGGTGTGTTCTCTGTGATTAAGAACGGGGCGAAAATTCTTGATATTTACGTGGATCCTGACGGCAGAACAATTAAAACCCCCAGCGTGACGCGTAATCGTGGCTCCCAGGCGGCGCATACGTACGTTATCCAGGAGACGTTGTTATCATCGACAAACGGCAATCGGATTATACGACTCCGAACAATCACTGTGACAGGTGGCCAGGATAATTGTGGGGACACGGAAGCTGTTGACCGCCGTTGCGCGAACGGCGCATCATTAGCAGATACAATCTGCTCGTTAGACCCTCGGAAAATTGGGGACCGTTTTCTTGCCAGCAACCCACGTGCAACGAGCGCACGGTAACGATTACAAGATAATTGTAAAAGATATACATATGAACAAAAAGCAATGTAAAATACATAAAAAAACTCGCAATCGTACAAAGATTTGCGTACAATTTTATTCGAATGACACACTGTGAAAAGTAGCAGTAACTATGATCGTCATCCTGGCCTTGAAACAGTTAATTAGATTACATAATTGCTTTCCAAGTGTCTATTCAAGAAAAAATATAATATTATTATAAAAATTGGAATTTCCATGTTTAATGAATTTAAAATACGGGATTGCTTTTTGTTTTATCTTTTGTTCGTTATTCGAATCTTTTTATCTAGAGTTTAAGTACGCTTAATGTGTTATTGGGAAAAGTGAGATGATTCGTTATTTGTACTTGACCCTACACTTCAATAATTTTTTATATTTGTATAGTTAAATAGTTTTTCTACATTAAATAGTTTTTATTCTCCCTTTGTGCTTGTATTAATATTGAGGTTTGCAAAATGATCCATCGGAGAGATCAAAGGGAGCAAATGAGGTACAAATATCGGTTAGTTTCTGCTCGTTGTAGAATTGTGGTTAATGGCGATCACTATATGGAGGTACTGCTTTACTGCTAATTTAAATACATAGGTATGTTCAGGATAGTTTCAGTATATTTATTCTATTTTATTGCATTTCATTATAATCTATCGTGTTGTGATATAATAACTTTTCTGCAGTAAGTGCCCTTAAAGTGTTCAGTATTACATCCTTTCATTGACGATCAGTGGAATTAAGCGAACGCAGGGCAGAAAAAATTCATAAGGTTTTCGTTGAGGATAAATTATAATTTCTACCGGCTTCTATTTCCCTTTTTAATGGACGGCCCTCTTATTTATTACTCCTCCAGGGAATTCCGAAGATTAAGTAAATCGGATTCCGTGACTTCATGGAAAGTGACGCGTGGAACTTTATGACGGTGGAAGTCAGGAATTTATCTTCCTTTAAAGCTACTTGTTCGTAATGAATATCAACATAAATCACCGGAGTAACGAGGGATCGTGTTCCTGATCGAGCAACTTCTTTCCCCGTATCGTCTCTTTTCTTCTTGTATTTTAATTAACCGGGGAATTACCTGCACTGCTCTGTTGCGATTCAGTTTCAGTTCGGGCGATCGATCATGATCAACACGCTACCCGGAGCATTAATTTGTCTGTGAGCCGGTAAATAAAGTTTCTTTTCATCTCGTCCGAATCTATCATCACCTTTACAAACATATAATGCTGGTATTACGTACCAGTCATTTGCATTAGTTCATCGACATTAATTGATTGCAATGCACCCGTGTTTACTAGGGTTGTTATTATCTTACAAGTTAGGGTTGTCTTCTAGGGTAGTATTTTTTCTGTGTTGTTAACTTCTTCGATCTAATTTTCGTTCATTTTAAAGCTCACAATTACTAAAAGAGTTAGTTACGTACTTTTTGGTATAAATCATCAGTCGTGTAATAAACTGTAAATAAAGTGTAATAATGTGGTTGGGGCTCACTACTTTCCTGCTTCTATATCAAGCTTCCTAAACTATAAACTCGATTTTCTCAGTTCAGAAGCTAGTGGTGACAGAACAATTAAGAACTAGAGCGACGATATGTCAGGAGCTACGTTGAAATGTCAGTTCGACCCGTAGACTTTCACGGAATGCACGACTGACCATTCCTTTCGTTGTCGTCGGGAACGTACGAACAATCCTCCGCGTGATTCTGGAGGATGTCTCGCGGATATTCGCGAGCGTGCGTTGCGGTCACGCGTGCACGTGCATATGCTAGCGGCGCGCCACAGGGAATATGAAAGCGAGAGTCACTACGCCGGTTGGCTCTGTTACTCCATCCACGTTCCGTTGAACTTGACCTACTCTTTGTCACGCGGCAGGTATACAACCGCCCCTGGGTTCTCTCGGTCGCGGCGACGGCCACGAAACGCCGCGCGTCCTTTCCACCACGGCACCAGTGTTCACCTTCGCTCGACGGGCCTCAACCAGTCGGCCGAGGTACCTGCGCCCGACAGGTACACCACACGAAATACTCTTGCAGCTGCCAAACCGGGTCAAGTTCGTTCCTAGTCGCCTGAAGATCAAACGCGCCGGTGTTCCCCACGGACGCGGAACTGATAACGAAGTTCTTCGCAGTTGATTCACCGTATCTCTCTGTCTCACTCGTTCCCACTGTCGATTTGTACGTCTCCACCTGTGCCCGTATTCCTTTCTTTACGTCGCCGGCTCAGCCTCGCTGGAGATTTATCCCCTGACGGATTCGCGGTCGAAAGTGGAACTTAATTTTTCGAGTGACGTTGAGTGAAGTGGGATGCGACGTGAATTGACCGTGAAGATTATGAGGACAGTGGTAAGTGGACGTTGAGGAAGGTGAGGATCGACGAGAGTGGAGGTTGATGAATATTGATTTTAGATGAAACGTTTAGTACTTTGTTTAACCTATTCAGGGATGTTTTTTTTTTTTTTTTTTTTTTTTTTCGATGTATTTAGTTAAAATGTATTTGTGAATGTCGTGGACGATCAATTGGTAGGATATCCTTGTTGGGGAATTTTCTAGTGAATGTTTATTCAGAATAATGTTTCGTATATCTTTTGGGAGTATGCTTGAGTGAAGGAGAAACTAAACGTATACGTACACTTACCGATATAAATTAAGAAACATTCATTATGTATGAACTCGAATAATAGATACAATATTCATAAAAATTGTTTCGTTTCTTAATTATCGGTAAGCGTATGTGCCACTATCCGTCAAGATGTTAATATGGTTTAGTAGATTAGTCTTTATTGTCTCTTATTTTCGTGTCGCATCGCAAATTTTCAATCAAAAGTATTGCAATCAATCATACTACTTTGAAATTATAGATTGAACGTGTTCAATATTTATAAATTGCTATTGATATTTTCGTGATATCTATGATACTTGAAGTGACCAGCAATTATTAATATTGTCAAACAATTCTACAACACTTTTAATCTCGTATCGTGGATAACGAGAGTGTATTTCGTTGAGGCCAGAGTTTGCGCAAGGTTTTCGCGGCGTTCAGTGTTAAATAATAGAAGGACGGTTAAATATTTGAACGGCTACAATTTTAGACTGACATTGGTCGCTCACCTATACACGTGGGTGAGGTCGAAGGCCCTGTCTCCGGTCTAACAAGTTGGTGTCACTGACACCGCGAGGTCGACCAACCGAAATTTCGTACGGTGCACTTGAGATAAGCGGCCTCGAAGGCCCCTGGATCACCGACACCTCTAAACGTTGACCTACCAACGGAAAGTTTTGCTTAAAATTAGATTCGAATCTCGATAGCTTAGTCACGCCTGTGTTCGCTAG